AGAGATGATTGCTGGTGATTGAATGCGGCTGAGGCGATCTTCTGGTCTTTTGTCTCTTTTGAATAGTATGTAGATGTTCATCTTATAAAATCATAAAATCATCATAACATCATCGCCTCCATTGAGAACGCTTCTTTTGTCCATGGAGGGGGCGCCACGGAGGATTTTCCGGGAGAAAATGGGACTTGTCACTTTAAGGAGCTAGAGCTGAAAAAAAAAGACGGGTCTGTGTTCATGAGCGTGACTGAGAACTGATATCACCTTAATAGGCACGGCGTTTATTCCAATGACTGAACTTGGATTGAAACATTAAGCATTTCTCCAGAGATCTGCGGTTCGCTAACAGTCTTGGAAGAGTCAGCAGCGCTGAACCAGGCTTTGTGGTTACAAATCACCAAGCCGGCGTCCGCTCCGAAAAAGATCACAATTCTCGGCCACTGTTGCGTTTTTCCTGCAACGTGCACCGCGATCTATTGCGTAAAATCACACGTTCTGGTCACAAGTCCCCGAGGGCTAACGTTTGCCGAATGAAATCAGTGACACGGAACCACGAGAGTCCACGCGTTAAATCAGCGTCGGCCGTACGCAAGAAGACACCGCTCCTCGCCCAACAGCAAAGCCCCCTTCCCACGACCTCTCCGAGCCACAGCAACTTTTCAAAATGTATTTCTATGCGTTCTCCGGCCACGCCTCCTCTTCCACCCACCAATTAGGAGGCAGCGGGTGTGACGCACTATCTCAGACGCCGCCGCTGGGAAGCCCCGCCCCGCTTCCGCCTGGCGGCTGCTGCTGCTGCTCCACACCCTCCCCGCCCCGACATTTCGGGCGGATGTGCTTTTTTTCCGGCCCGACGGAGCGCGACTGGGGCTAAAAGAGGACGTGTCCGGGAAAATCCGGATATATGGTAATCCTATTTATAAACACTCCTGTGCTTTCTGGGACAAGTAACGGGCTTGGAGTCGCCCCAACAGCTAAGTCAGGCTAACCTTCTGCGGAAGGGCTGCGTTTTAGCCACGATTCCACCAACTGCTTTTCTCCAGGATTCAACCTGGGGAAAGTCTCCTCTTCTCCTTTCTTACGGGAAAATATAAGGCCCAAAGCCTTGTTGGCATTGCTTGTAGACGAGCTCTGTTCCGCTTTTGAAGAAGCCGCTAACAACTACCAAAAAATGAAATCCTTTGGACCTGTTTTAGGATGGGCGGGGGGAGGATGCCCAGGCGTGGCACGAACTGTTTGCAGAAGATTAAAGTAAATTTTCAGCTAGCAGCGCTCCAGCTCCGGGATCCTCTTCCAAGCGCTAGGCTGAGGGAAACAATATAGTAAAAGGCCTTTTTTAAAAACAATCACGTAGTGATTACAATCTATTCCCATATGTCTGGTCTAATTAGCCAGGAAAACTCAGTCCTGGCTGATCTGCCCAAGTGTTTTACAAACATTAAATACACTTCTGAATGCTACCCAGAATAACAGAGATATTGAAATATTTGTTTTCACTGACTTTAAAAAAAGTTTCATACCGCTATTGCTTCCCTTGTTTATGATCACCTGCTAAAAAGTCCTCATTAATGAGGAAAAGATGGAATAGCTACACAGTATATTTTATTGGTAACGCTAGAACTCTTGGTTGTACGTAACCGAATACGTACGTACTTTTTCATTCTCAGAGATGAAGTAGAAGTATTTTAGTCATGCACTGTTTGATGTATACGTGTATATCAGGTCAGGAATAAAATGGATTCGATTAGTCTTACTCCCAAATAAAAGGATATAGATCATAAACTTTGCCATTTTCTTATTAAAGCATTTTCTTATTAAATTATTCAATTTTCTTATTAAAGCTGAATGGGGGCTGAAGCCCAGTATATATACTGTGTACACTGAAGTCCAGAATAATACTGTGCACAATAAGTCAAAAGTGCTTCAGGCCACAGACAGGCAGAGTACTGCTCAGTCGTTCATTAAGACATCCACAACTTTTTTTCAGGCTTCCATGTGAGCTTGACAAAAGATGTTTTTGCACTAAGAATTGAATGAGCTGGCTCCTTAAAACAGGGCCCTGTTTTGTTTTGTTTTTTTCAGGCTTGATCAAACACAGATGTGGCTACTTGAATTAGTAGCAGAAAGGTGCTGCTGTCTGAAGCAGTTCTGAATTTTTCAAAATATGAACATAGCTAACTATACCTGAATCCATGCCAGCGTTCCTGGTCCGTGTTTCATAGGACTTAGTTATAGATAGCATTTTTTTGAGTTTACTAAGGTAGGCTATGTTGAGTATGATAAAAGTTTGACTGAAGAGTGGTATGCCTTAAATGACCTTGCAAGTTAATAAATCTGGGATTTCATTGTTTGTTTAATTCTAGTTTATGCTGTTAAGTTTTGTTGCACACAATTTGCAGTATTTGCCCTGATAGTTATATCCAGGTTAAAATAAACCTAATAAAATGAATAATTGAGAAGGATGGATTCTTCATATGGCCTGCTAGATCTGGGCTGCAAAAATACAAATACAAAATGGCAGCAAGAAATATGAGAAACGTTGCTTCTATTTATTGGTCCTATGGAATTTTTCAACCTAGATCTGGTATCCCAACATAAAATTGTTTTTCTTTCTCATGTTTTAAATGTTTTATAAAAATATACTGCTACCTTGTTCCTCAGTTGGCAAATTACAGAGAGAAAGATGTTAGCCTTCATGTTCTGTAACACCACAATCTAAAACATGTAAAACTCTGTTAATAATGTCATTGTCTATTTTGTTTTGCATCTTTACATTTTAGAATAACTTGGGGGGCCTTTTGTGATAGAGGTCTATTATCATTATTCTTAAATGAAATCTTTTTTAACAGGTACTTTATCTTTCAGGTGGAAATCTGTTCAGTCTGAATCGAGAAGCTCATCTATTTCATTCAACCAAAAAATAAATTGAGAGGAGGACAAGATGCCAACTGTGAAAGTTTTGCAGCCTGTACTAAAAATGAAAGTGGATGAGCTCTTTTTGTGCTGGTTAAGTGAAACTGCAACTCAAGTGATGCTCAAAGACTATTTAAGAAGTATAACCAGTGAAGAGAAGATTGAAATATGTAGCGGTGATGCTGGGAACAATGAAAATATTCTTACTCAAATTAACTGTGTCTCCAAACAAAGCATGTTAGGCGCTCTGATGTCTCCTTTGACTCCAACAAGCCCTACTCACCTTTCTGCGGCTCTCCCATTCAGTACACCAACAAGTCCTAGGAGCTGTTCTGCTATTCGAGGAAAGCGCAGATCTTCAAACAGCAGAAGTGTAAGTGCCTTAATGATTTGATCATCTATTAAATTAGATCAGATGACTTGAATTGTAACAAGAAGCTATTTTGGTAGATTGGTATGTTGTTGCATAAATGTCAGTTTTATCTGCAATTATTAACAATGTTCTCCATAGTTGTTGATAAATTTTTCACCTAAAATAGAGTATGGTATCTGTCCCACAAAAATATTTATTTGTTTCAAATAATTATCCTTCATTTAAAGCGACATCAAATATTATTTAGCAAGAATTTTTATGGGAATTACTGTGGAACTGCTTGTATTCTGATGGTAATATTAAACCAGAAGCCACGTAGTAAAGTACTTCACAGAAGAAAATTGCTACTGTGGTGCCACCATAATTTTGTTTTGTGCCATCTATGTTAATTCTATTAATCCAAAATGTGTTTATACAATACATTCATTCTGAGAGAGAGTATTCAATGTGTAACATTGTTTATGTTGGCAAGTAATAGACATAATTAAATGCTTAATCTCATAATTTACTGTACAACTGGTTTTAACTAGTTACTTTGTGTAGTGCCAATGTAATATTAGCAGTCAAGTTGTTCTTGAGATATATAAGCTAGAAGATTGCCTATTCTGTGTGTACCAAGTAGAAATGTCTTTCCTGACGCCCGCGTGGGCCAAGATATGAACGTATTTCACTCATCAAGCACAGTGCACCGTATTTGCCTTTTGAAAGCCTATTCCTTCTCAGTGGTCTTCTTCAACTTCAGTTCTTTAAGTTTTAATAGATCAGGACATCCAACAGTTGCGGCAACACTCAGAATGGCATAAAGCTGATATCGTTTCCTTTGTTCATCCAGTTGTAGGCTAGTTATACTCCGAAATTTATTTTTGAATTTGGCAATACTGGTTTTATTGCTTATCAGCTTGCCTCGGCTGCTAGTGTTTCTCCCTTTCCCTCTCCAGTGAATAGCATATCAAGCATCACTGATGGTACAGAAATTCAGACATTGCTTCAGTAATAACTTCTGCTTTAATTAAAATCTTTTACTTATCAGCATATCTTCCATTCATCTAGGTTGATGAATTCTATAGAATGTTCTTAAAACGACAGAATCTGGGCTAATTTTATTACCATGATTATTTTTTCTTACTGTAGAAAGTATATTCTTTAACAACTCACTTGTTTTCTGGTTTAGGATTTGAATTATCTTGTTTTCATGAGCTGCAGTTCTCAAGCTTGATTATGTAATGCTATTCATATGTTACAGGTACGGTAAAACTGAGGGAAAGTAGTAACTTTACAGTACTTGATAGGAAGGCTAAATTTCCATTAGCTCCATGTTGCTTTTCCTCAAAGTTTTCTACTAACTCCTTCTAGAATAACTTTGCTGATGAAAAACTGTACAAACTACAAATCACAGTAAATTTATTGTCATCTTAGTGCATAAATATAAATGCGATGTTCATGTTGTGTTAAGAATATTTTTGGTGATGAAATATCAAGACCAGTTTAAACTTTACTATAAGGTAAAATTAAATTCACATTTTATATCATGGTTAATAGCACCTTGTGTAGTGCTAGTTTCAGTAGGGCAATTATAGGCTTTTACAAAGAAGCTGGTGATGAAAATTAGTGAGATAGCATAGAGTTTAAATATTGAGAAGTTGAAATCTGGGGTTTGAAGCCAGTTAATTAATTGAAGTATTATTCCCATAATGAATAGCTTATGAATTAAGAAAAAAAATAGAACACAATGTTGGTTTGTACTCTGTAAGATTGTGGACATTAATCTTGATATTACTAATCTGCCTGCCATATGAAGCATTATAATTAATAATACTGTGCTCTGAAAAGAAAAAGTAAAATTTTTGTCAAGTGGACTATGTAGTCTAGAAGGTCTCCAATCATTAGATGAATACAGGCAACAAATTTAATGCTGGATAGGATATTTTACCATCTGGTTGTTTGCGTTTTAGTATATGGTGTGAATTTTTTCTGTCATACGGCCTTGTGCAAAAGCATTTTCCTTATTATTAGATGGTTGTCTGAATTAGTAATCCATAGCAGATGAAAATGAATAATGTGCTAAGCAAGGCATTTGCAGAGACGGGCAGGTGATTTTATGTACATAACAACATCATCACACAGACAGTGCAAGTTATTTAATTTGGATCAGTTGCATGACCATAAGTGAGAGTGTTACTGTAGGCTACAGAGTTTGAAGCAAAGTGTTGGTACAGAAAAGGTTTACTGAACATTCTTTTCAAACTGAACAAATATATTACATTTAAAAAGATCTGATCCTATGTTTTTCAAATTAAATATGAGGTAATATTGAAGACTAAATACATGAAGAACATTTAGGGACAAAGCTTCATCCCACTCTTCTGGAGAGTCATCTCAAGTGGGGTGCCATGGGGCTCTGTCCTGGGCCAAGTGCTATTCAGTGTTTTTATAAATTATATGGATGAGGGAGTCAAGGGAATGCTTACCAAATTTGCAGACAATACACAGCAAGAAGGGGTGGCTAATGCTTGGGAAGAGAAGGAAAAAATTAAAAAGATTTAGACTAGAACAGTGAGTGGAAACAAATAGAATGACATTTAACAGAGAGAAAAATAAAGTCATGCATCAGTGTAAGAAAAATGAAATAAACATGTACGGGATGGGGAAAATCTGTCTCAAGAGCAGCACATTTGAGGAGTTGAGTATACTAATGGATCACAAGCTCAAAATAATCCAACAGTGTAATGCAGGTGCAAAAAAGGCCGATGACATCTTGATAAGCATCAAGAGGAGCATAGAGTCCAGATCATGGGAAGTAATTACAGTGGGGCAAAAAAGTATTTAGTCAGCCACCAATTGTGCAAGTTCTCCCACTTAAAAAGATGAGAGAGGCCTGTAATTTTCATCATAGGTATACCTCAACTATGAGAGACAAAATGGGGGAAAAAATCCAGAAAATCACATTGTCTGATTTTTAAAGAATTTATTTGCAAATCAGGAAGACATACAAGACCACTGATAATCTCCCTTGATCTGGGGCTCCATGCAAGATCTCACCCTGTGGGGTCAAAATGATCACAAGAATGGTGAGCAAAAATCCCAGAACCACACGGGGGGACCTAGTGAATGACCTGCAGAGAGCTGGGACCAAAGTAACGGTCTTGTATGTCTTCCATTTTCTAATTATTGCTCCCACAGTTGATTTCTGGTCTTGTATGTCTTCCATTTTCTAATTATTGCTCCCACAGTTGATTTCTGGTCTTGTATGTCTTCCATTTTCTAATTATTGCTCCCACAGTTGATTTCTGGTCTTGTATGTCTTCCATTTTCTAATTATTGCTCCCACAGTTGATTTCTGGTCTTGTATGTCTTCCATTTTCTAATTATTGCTCCCACAGTTGATTTCTGGTCTTGTATGTCTTCCATTTTCTAATTATTGCTCCCACAGTTGATTTCTGGTCTTGTATGTCTTCCATTTTCTAATTATTGCTCCCACAGTTGATTTCTGGTCTTGTATGTCTTCCATTTTCTAATTATTGCTCCCACAGTTGATTTCTGGTCTTGTATGTCTTCCATTTTCTAATTATTGCTCCCACAGTTGATTTCTGGTCTTGTATGTCTTCCATTTTCTAATTATTGCTCCCACAGTTGATTTCTGGTCTTGTATGTCTTCCATTTTCTAATTATTGCTCCCACAGTTGATTTCTGGTCTTGTATGTCTTCCATTTTCTAATTATTGCTCCCACAGTTGATTTCTTCTTTTTAAGTGGGAGAACCTGCACAACTGGTGGCTGACTAAATACTTTTTTGCCCCACTGTATCTGGCTCTACTCAGCCTTGGGCAGGACTCACTTGGAGTATTGTGTTCAGTTTTCCACAGCCCAGTTTAAGAGACATTGATAAACTGGAGCAAGTCCTGAGAAGGGCTACCAAGATGGGGAAAGGATTAGAAACTGAAACATCCTACAAGGAATGGTTAAAAGACCTAGATATGTGTAGCTTGCAGAAGAAAAGGTTGAGAGGGGACATAATAACTATCTTCAAATGTCTGAAGGATTATCATATTGTAGAAGGTTCTGACTTATTCTCACTTGTGCAAGAGGGTAACACTAGAATTAATGGGACAAAACTTCAAAGATGTAGATGCAGATTAGACAAGGAAGAACTTCTTGACAGTGTCTGCTGTCAATTACTGGAATAGGTTACCCTATGGAGTGGTTACTTTCCCTTTACTGGAGGTTTTCAAACAGGCTGGATAGTCATCTATCAGGGATGGTGTAATGAATGCTGCAGTGTGCGGGAGGTTGGACTTGATGACCTGTTAGGTCCCTTCCAACTCTTTGATTCTGTGGGCTACTGGAAGGATTTTTTTTTTCAAAATTATAGTGTATATCAGTAATTGTTTTCAAAGAAAAGAAAAGCATCAAATGCCTCTTGATAATAATTTTAATAATTGTAGAACATCTTTGCTCATTAACTTTGTTTTTCATAACATGAAGAATAAAAAGACTAATGAAGATGATTACTGAAGGATGCAACTGTAGTAACATATCACAAAGAAGGCAATATTCTGGTCATTTAATCTGCAAAAGCAATTATCTAATTAGATCTTGTGTAAACATTAAAATGCTTTGTACTGTACAAGTAGGAGACAACAAGCTGCTTCCATTTGTATGTCTTGGCATGTCACACACGCTAATTTAGTGAATGCCATGAACAGCGATTTGGCTATGGTACCAATAGCTTTTATGAGTGAGATGTAGTGAGGGGTTGTGTTGCTCTCATGGAAGAATTGCAATAATTGTAAAGTAGAAGCAGCGAGAGAACCAAGTTTGTTAAACTTCTGAATATCTGTCAATTCTGTTTTGAAAGAATGTATGCCGTTTTTGTAAGACACTTATTACATTAAATTTAAAGTAGTCAAAAAGATTATAATAAAGCAACACGCAGGCCACCATATCTACCGCCCCAAGCTATATAGGTAGACGTCTTCAAAATACAGGCAGTTGTCAAAACTT